CTCATAACTTTCCTTCCACTGAGTAAGCGTCTTTTAATTTCATGGCTGCAGTCACCATCTGCAGTGATTTTGGATCCCAAAAGAATAAAGTCAGCCACTCTTTCCACTTTTCCCCCATCTATTTGCCATGAAGTGATGGGACCAGATGCCATAATCTTAGTTTTCTGAATGTTGAGCTTTAAGCCAACTTTTCCCTTTCCTCTTTCACTTTCATCAAGAGGCTCTCTAGTTCTTCTTCACTTTCTGCCATAAGTGTGGTGTCATCTGCATATCTGAGATTATTGATACTTCTCCTGGCAATCTTGATTCCAGCTTCTGCTTCCTCCAGCCCAGCATTGCTCATGATGTACTCTGCATATAAGTTAAACAAACAGGGTGACAATTTATAGCCTTGACGTACTCCTTTTCCTGTTTGGAACCAGTTTGTTTTTTCATGTCCAATTCTAACTGTTGCTTCCTGACCTTCATACAGATTTCTCAAGAGGAAGATGAGGTGGTCTGGTATCCCCATCTCTTTCAGAATTTTCCACAGTTGACTGTGATCCACACAAAGGCTTTGGCATAGTCAATAAAGCAGAAATAGACATTTTTCTGGAACTCTCTTGCTTTTTTGATGATCCAGCAGATGTTGGCAATTTGATCTCTGGTTCCTCTGCCTTTTCACAACCCAGCTTGAATGTCTGGACGTTCATGGTTCATGTATTGTTGAAACCTGTCTTGGAGAATTTTGAGCATTACTTTACTAGCATGTGAGATGAGTGCAATTGTGCGGTAGTTTAAACATTCTTTGGCATTGCCTTTCTTTGGGGTTGGAATGAAAACTGACCTTTTCCAGCCCTGTGGAAAACTGCTGAGTTTTCCAAATTTGCTGACATATTGAGTGCAGCACTTTCACAGCATCATCTTTCAGGATTTGAAATAGCTCAACTGGTAGTCCATCGCCTCCACTAGCTTTGTTCATAGTGATGCTTCCTAAGGCCCACTTGACTTCACATTCCAGGATGTCTGGCTCTAGGTGAGTGATCTCACCATTGTGATTATCTGGGTCATGAAGATCTTTTTTGTACAGTTCTTCTGTGTATTCTTGGCACATCTTCTTAATATCTTCTGCTTCTGTGTAGTCCATACCATTTCTGTCCTTTATTGAGCCCACTTTGCATGAAATGTTCCCTTGGTATCTCTAGTTCTCTTGAAGGGATCTCTAGTCTTTCCCATTCTGTTGTTTTCCTCTATTTCTTTGCATTGATCACTAATGAAGGCTTTCTTATCTCTCCTTGCTATTCTTTGGAACTCTGCATTCAAATGGGCATATCTTTCCTTTCCTCCTTTGCTTTTCACTTCTCTTTTTTTCACAGCTATTTGTAAGGCCTCCTCAGATAGCCATTTTGCTTTTTTGCCTTTCTTTTTCTTTGGGGAACATATTTTCTTCTTGGTACTGAGACAAAGTTTTTTTTTTTTTTTTTCCAGAGGAAATTCACATAGCATAAATTTATTACTTTTCTATTTCCCCCAGCTTTACTGAGATATAAATGACATATAGCACAATAAGTTTGAAGTGTACAATGTTGTTTTTTTGGCGCTACTAGGTCTTCATTGCTGCTCACAGGTTTTCTCTAGTTGCAGAGAACATGGGTTACTCTTTGTTGCAATACACGGGCTTCTCCTTTCAGCAGCTTCTCACGTTGCAGAGCATGGGCTCTAGAACTCTTACTCAGTAGTTACAACACATGGGTAAGTTGGTCTGTGGCACGTGGAATGTCACTGGACCAGGGATGGAATCCATGTCCCCTGCATTGGCCAGCAGACTCCCAACAACTGGACCACCAGGGAATTCCCACAGTGATGACCTGATAGACTGCCTATTGTGAGATGATCGCCACAGTAAGAGATGAACTATTAGGACCTCCCTGGTGTCCAGTGGCCAAGACTCCTTGCTCCCAGTGAAGGGGACCAAGGTTCCCCCCTTGGTCAGGGAACTAAGATCCTACTTGACGAAACTAAGAGTTCACACGCCACAACTAAAGATTTTGTTATGCCACAGTGAAGACTCAGCACAGCCAAATATAGATAAAATGAAAAAAAATTTAACTATAAGAAAATAAGTGAACTATCTTATGGGAACAATTCAGGGGCACTAGTACATTCACAATGTTGTCCAGCCACCACCTGCATCGAGCTTCAAACACGTTCATCTCCCCTAAAAGACACCCTGTACCCACTGAGCAGTCACGGTCCATCCGCCCTGCCCCACACCCCAGCCCCTGAGGCTGCTTTCCGTCTCTGTGGACTTAGTTACTGTGCAGGTCTCACATTCCCTCTCTCCTTCAGTACTACTCGCTCTGGGCGTTCCTGAGTCAGCCTGGGTTTACAGAGTGTTCACAGGCATCAACCTGTCGGTTCTCAGCTTCATCATCGTCTCTGGCTTCATTAAGGGAGACCTGCACAACTGGAAGCTCACAGAACATGACTATGAATTGGCCACAGCTGTATTCACTCATAGGTTAGGAGTGTACCCTTGGTCATATTAACATGTGTGTGTGTGTAAGGGAGTCAGAGCTGAGAATTTGGTGGGGAGTAAAGAGACCCAGGCTGGTGGATCTGGATGGTGGGTTTCCTGCAGCCCAGAGTTTGTGGTATTGAGGGAAGAGTCCAGAAGTGATGGCTGAACCCACCTCACCCACGTTCTTTCTTGCTCCTTCTCCCACCACAGCTTGGGCCCTCCAGGTGCTGGAGGATTTGTGCCTTTTGACTTTGACGGGGTTCTCCAAGGAGCAGCTACATGTTTCTACGCATTTGTCGGTTTTGCTGCCATTACCACTACAGGTAACATGGTCACCGTGTGTCCCATCGGGGGTTTGGACAGAGTTTGGGCTGCCCTTGGGCACAAAGTTTGGGAGGAAATTAGCCTGCTTTTGGAGGACCAAGAGGGAAGGCAATTCTGTGCTTTCACCCCAGGGTGTTTTCCTGACCTGCTGCTTTTACCCCTTTTGCAGAGAGAGGAGACCTAAAGCCTCAGCGGTCCATCTCCCTGATCTCACTCTTGATGTGCTTTTTGGCCTATTTTGGTGTCTCAGCGGCACTCACCCTCATGGTGCCCTACTACCAGATTCATCACCACAGCCCCTTGCCCGAGGCTTTTCTCCATGTGGGCTGGGGCCCTGCCAGATACGTCGTGGCTGTTGGTGTTCTCTGTGCTCTCACGGCCAGGTCAGTGTCACTGGTTTCTCTCCATCCACTGTCAGATACTCATGTACCCTAACCCGTGGGACTGAGACAAGAGGGAAAGACATCTTGCTCCCTGTAGACCAGGGAGTGGATGCCCTGGTCGCCCCTGCTTCTCCGTCCTCACACGTGTCTCCACTTTCTCTCCAGCCTCCTGGGTGACATGTTCCCCATGTCTCGGTTAATCCGTGCAATGGCAGAGGACGGGCTCCTTTTCCGGGGACTTGCCCAAGTCTACACTCACACAAAAACCCCCATCATGGCCATCATGTATTCTGGAAGCCTTGCAGGTGAATAAACAAAGCTCACTCCTTCCTTGATCTGTTTCCCTTATGTGCAGTTCCAGTGGTTTCTCAATCCCACCCTCTCCGTTTTTGTCCCCGATTCTAGCGATCACGGCATTACTCTTTGAGTTCAGGGACATCGCAAACCTCATGGCAGTTGCGTCTCTGCTCACTTACTCCATGGTGTGTTTCTCGGTCCTTGTTCTCAGGTGAGACCCCCTACACCTCGATCGGGGGACTTGGGTCATGGGGATGATGGGGAGGTCATCCTGGTCTGTGTCATGCTGCCTTCTGATTGTTCAAGAGAGGAAAGAAGTGGAATAGACAACCTGATGTTGTGTGAATGGGGGCTGCTGTTAATACCTCCTTTAAACCTCTAATTCAGGTACCGGCCAGATCAGAATTTATGTAAGAATGAGGAAACAGAAGAAGAACCTGAGATGGAGCCTGTACTTGAAAGAAGTCCTTTGGACTCTGAACCTGAAGCAGGAACCTCAAACATTCTAGAGTCTGTGGTTCCCTATCAGCGCCACCCCCACCCACAATCTGGTCAGACTGTGTGTGGATGTGCCTTCCTGCTTGGTGAGTGCTGGGACTTCTCTTTGGTCATATTCTGAAATTGACAGGATGGAGTGAGAGTGTGTATTTTGTCAGTTGAGGGGTCTTGGAGATACGATGTCCATTCCTGATGTGGGCAGCCTGGGGAGGGGTGTGACCCGAGGTCCTGATGTCTTTGTCTTCTGGGTCCAGCCTGTTCTCCTCCACCTTGACCCTTGCAGTTCTCCTGCTGACCATCCTGAGCCTGATCCTGGCCCAGTGGCCCATACGTGTGTTCTCTGGAGACCCCGTGCTCACAGCAGTGGCTGTGCTGCTGCTGCTGCTGCTCATCATTGGGGTCACAGTCATCATCCGGAGGCAGTCCCAGAACCCCTCTCCTCTTACGTTCAAGGTAGGTGACCTTATGTGCCCAAAGTGTCCACCTTGAGAGAAGCAGGTCTGTGTGCTTTAGGTCTAAACATCCTTCACTGGACCAGGGAAGAAGGGGAGTTGCTGAAACCAATGGACTCTTCCCTGATCCACACTCAGTGCCTACAAACCAGGCTCAATAGACACTGACCACACAGCCTAAATTGGACTGAACTTGTCCCACCCACGTGGGGAAGGGTCTCCCTTTCACACAACTGGGCTGTGTTCAGGGATGAACTGACTCTGCCCACAGGTCCCTGCTCTGCCTGTCCTCCCACTGGTCAGCATCTTCATGAACATTTACCTGATGATACAGACGACCCTTCGGACATGGGCCCAACTTAGTGTCTGCAGTGCCATTGGTAAGTACCTTTCTGGGATAAAGAGGCCTCTTGAGTGACTGAATACAAGCCTCTTCCTACCACCTCTCCCCGTCACTGTGTCAGATGCCATAATGGAGGCCTGTTGGGCATTTGTGAGTGAGGAGAGCGCCTGCCTTTCCTCCTCACTGTCTCATTTCCCTACTAGGACTTGCCATATACTTTGGATATGGAATCAGACACAGCCTGGAGGAGAACAATGAGCCACAGCCACCAGCCCCCGCCTCCCAGACTCTTGACAAAAATACCCCTAGTGATGAATGGTCTTAACCACAGGAAACAGCTGCTGTGTGGAGTCCCTCCATGCACTGGAGGATCTGCTAGTCCACAAGACACTTTGAGCCTCTGTGAGGTGTGAACGTGAAATGCATTTACGGACCTGTATTTATTGCCAGTGGAGGAACGACCTTAAAGTCTTTTCAAAGCATAACACACATAGAAAATAGTGCCTGGTTTGTTAAGTGTGCAGCAAGATGACATTTCACCAACAATGTACAACAAAGTAGCCAGCAACCAGAGGAAGAAATAAAATATCCACCTGCACACAAGAAGCTCTTCCTCAGGACTTCCCTAGGGGCCCAGGGCTTGGGAATCGGCCTGCCAGCGCAGGGGATACTGGTTCGATCTGTGGTTCAGGAGAATTCCACACGTCACGGGCAGCTGGGCCAGCGTGCCACAGCTCCTGAGCCCACGAAGCCCACGGCCCAGGCTCCGCAACAAGGGGAGCGACCGCACTGAGCAGCCCGTGCCCGCAGCTCGAGCAGCGCCCAGGTGCAGCAGCGAAGACCCGGCATAACCAACAGTAAACAAATGTTAACGAAGTTCTTCCTTGGGGCTCTTTCCAGCAAACACATAAATATCGCCACAGGGGGAGGAAAGGCAGGTACCTGTATGATGTGTCCAGTGCTGCACCTGAAATACTAGGACGCAAACAAGCTGGAAGTTAAGGGAATGGAACACATACCCTTTGCAAACAGTGGCACGAGGAACCCAGGCAGCTATTACTATCAAATGAAGCAGACTTTAGGAAGAGGAGAAAAACAACAGATAAAGTGGCTCTTTTCATCACGATAGAAAGAAATGATCAATTTTCCCTCTACCCCCAGATTTACTGAGACATAGTGTAACATTGGGGAGATGATTTTTTTTTCTCCAGTTTTCTGTCACAAACTCTTAGAGTTACATACTAGAGTTGATGAAGGAAAGTTCTTAACTTATAAAGAAAAACACCTGCATTGTCAGAGGTGCAGGAAAGAAGTGGTAAGTAACGGTTGGCTGGCAAAAGGTTACAATTGAGTGTAACTGAAAGATAGGAGGCAAAACTGGATAGACATGATAAAGAGTTATTGCAGAACAGGGTGCTTGAAATTGAGATTATGGACCTTCAGGATATTGATAATAATGAAGTAAAGGCTTCTTTGTGGGGATGAACACTGCAGAACACTGCAGTAGAGTGAAGAAGGGATGGAGGTCAAGAAACTGAGAAACAAGTTATTAGATGAATTAAAATACAGACGGAGTAGGATGAAGAGTTTTCCTAATAACGTTTGAAACATTTCCTTGCACACAAATGTGTTTGCCTTTTTAATTTTAGTCGCTTTAATTACATGTATTAATCAGAATTCTTAGCCCTTAGAAACTTTACTTTCTAGTTAAAAACAAAAAGTAAGCAATTGTGAACTATGTTATACCAGTAGTTTTAAAAATTGAATTATAACCAATTAAAAATAAATAAATTTGTAAATTGCTATCAACTTAAAAAAATTGAAGTAGCATTGATTTACAATATAACACTAGTTTCAAATATACAGCACAGTGATTTGGTATTTTACAGATGATACTCCAGTAGAAGTTACTACAGAAAAATGGCTATAATTCCTTGTGCTCCACAACATACCCTTACTGATCATGTATTTTATATATAGTAATTTGTATCTCTTAACCTCATACCCCCACTTTGCCCCTTCCCGCTTCCCTCTCTTCACAGATTGCCACTAGTTAGTTAGGTGAGGCTATTTCTATTTTGCTATATACACTCATTTGTATTATTTTTTGAGATTCCACATATAATATTATACAGCATCTGTAAAAATACCAAATCGCTATGCAGTGTATCTAAAACTAATATCATAAACCAAGTCTATTTCAATAAGGAAACAAACAGTGAATTAGACATCCACTCAGGAGGAAAGGCACTTCTGTGAGTGTGGGGGACACAGTGCCATCTGCCCAAGGAGCCCTGGAGGAGTCTTGTCCATCTGTGCGTCCGAGTCACAGGCCGACAGACCTCGCTATGGGCTGCAGAACCTGCAGAGCCAGGGAACCTGCCCGGACCCCTCTGGGGTTGATGCTGCCAGCGGTGGTGGTGGTCGTGGTGATGGTGGTCATGGGAACCCAGAGAGTACTGACCTAGAGATTCCATGGAAGGGAGGGGATTCGCAGAAAGTCAGCCTTCACTAGGAGCTTCACCCATGGCTCAGCAGTAGAGAACCCGTCTGCCAAAGAAGCAGACACGGGAGTCACAGGTTCGACGCCTGGGTTGGGAAGATCCCCTGGAGGAGGACATGGCAACCCCCTCCAGGATTCTTGCCTGGAGAATCCCATGGACAGAGGAGCCTGGTGGGCTGCAGTCCATGGGGTCACAAAGAGTCGGACGGGACTGAAGGGACTGATTACACATGCAGCCTTCACTGAGCAGGGGAGGATTCTGGCGTAAAAAAACAAAAAGGAGTCTGATCAAGGCTCACATAGCAGACGCTTTCCCCTCCCCCCCACAAGGAAACATCCCACGGGGTTGACCTCCCACCACAGAAAAAGCTTCCCGAGTTCTGCAGACATCCGTGGAGACACCCGGTTCTCTCCAGCAGCACCAGAGACCTGAGGGGGGACCCCCATGACGAGGGAGACGAAGGGTTTGAGGAAGGGTTTTGGTAAAGAGGCTGATAAACACTGCGAAGGGCGTGAAAGGGACCGCTCCCCGCAGGCAGTTCACTGAGAAGCTTCTGGGAGCACCACACCCTGGAACCTCCCTCCTGGGTCCCCGGGCACCCTCAGTGCCCGGGTGCTGGGTCTATACCCCCCCCAACTCTCCGGGGGCTCCTTGTGGGACCCGCCCCCTGCAGCGCCCATGGCAGCTCTGGTAGGGAAGGGGCAGGCTCAGAAAACCAGCCCCGGCTATGGGCGAGGGTGCCTGCAGACTTGAGGTCTAGTGCCGCCTTCTGAAAATCCAAAGACAGGTTTCCAGAAGGCAGCCTGGTGAGTTGTAAGAGCAGCTCAGCTCAGTTCAGTTCAGTCGCTCAGTCGTGTCTGACTCTGCGACCTCATGGACTGCAGCACGCCAGGCTTCCCTGTCCATCACCAATTCCCGGAGCTTGCTCAGACTCAGGTCAATCGAGTTGGTGATGCCATCCAACCATCTGTCTTTCCCTTCCCCTCCTGCCTTCAGTCTTCCCAGCATCAGGGTCTTTTCCAATGAGTGAGCTCTTTGCACCAGGTGTCAAAGTGTTGGAGTTTCAGTCCTTAATCAGTCCTTCCAATGAATATTCAGGACTGATTTCCTTTAGGATGGACTGGTTGGATGTCCTTGCAGTCCAAGAGACTCTCCAGAGTCTTCTCCAACACCACAGTTCAAAAGCGTCAATTCTTCGGCACTCAGCTTTCTTTATAGTCCAACTCTCACATCCATACATCACCACTGGAAAAACCATAGCTCTGACTGGATGGACATTTGTTGACAAAGTAATGTCGCTGCTTTTTAGTACGCTGTCCAGGTTGGTCACAGCTTTCCTCCCAGGAGCAGGCGTCTTTTAATTTCATGGCCACAATCACCATGCAGCCACAGGGTCTTTTCCAGTGAGTCAGTTCTTCGCATCAGGTGCCATAGTATTGCAGCTTCAGCTTTAGCATCAGTCTTTCCAATGAATCTTCAGGACTGATTTCTTTTAGGATCACGGACGAGACAGAAATGCTTAAGAATTCTCCCACAAGAGGGAGCAAGCAGAGTGGAGCTGGTGGAGGGAGAGAAAGACAGGAAACCCCAGGAATCACCACCGTCAAAGAGAATAGTACCCCAGCTGGAGGGAACCACCACAGACTGAAGGACAAGTCTGCTCCTTCAAATGTGACAGCACCAATGAAAGACTACAAAAAAAACATAAAAAATCAGGCAGATGTGCCATCACAAATAAAAACACTATGCTTCTGATAAGCTACAACCTGGATGAGCCTTGCAGCCATTACACTAGTGCAGGCAGTTCCACAGGAAATGACACAGACAGGAGGGCCCCACTTAGTGAAGTACCTGGAGGGGTCAGGTTAAGAGAGTAGAGTGGGGATCGCCAGGAACTGCAGAGCAGCAAGAGGGAATTTCAGTTTAATGGGTACAGTTTCAGTTTTGCAAGATGAAAAAAAGTTCAAGAGATTGGTTATACAAACTATGAATGTCCTTAACACTTTTTTTTTGGTCCTTAACAGTTTTGAACTGGACACTTAAAATGGTTAAAGTGGTAAATTTTATGTTGTGTGTATTTTAGCACAATAAAGACCATCTCAGAACTACCCCCTGATGGGAACCACAGAACAGTCAGGGCTGATAGCTGCACTGCAGGTGTTTCCTCCCAACCCCATCTCCACCCCAACAACCTGAGATGAGAACTGTCTTCTGTGCCCAGGACTCCCCGCTTCAGTTCTTGGAGATGTCTCAGCTCCAGCCCCGCATGGCTTAACCTCAGCGTCCCTGACTGACCCAGTGCTCCAGGCTCTGCTCCAAGGATCCAGTAAGTCTCGGGTCACCCTCTTCTGTGGGAGACTGGGTGCTGAGTTCACATCCTCCCAAGGAGACCTCTGCAACCCCAGAGTGCAGGGGTTAGCCCAGCTCCAGCCTGAGGGTGGAGAGACCCATTTTCTAGATGAAAGTGTCTGTACTGTGTGTGTGTGTGTGTGTAAGGAAAGGTGGGGGAGATTAGATCAGTGCTGTGAGACTCTAAGACAGTTTTACTCATGTTCAAATAATATTAGAGATTAATTACCCTTAAGTACGGGTTATGATGTGGACCACTGATTTCAGGCTCCTATTTTCTTCTGGCCCTTGGAATGTATGGGTTCCTCCTCTTCTGTAGATATTCATGTAACTGTAAGGGACTGAACACCCACAGATTTAGGTTTGTGTGGAGGACCAAATGCTTGCTGACTTATCTTCAGTTCCCTTTTGGTTTGCTACAACCAGTAACTGTGTGAAGCTTGTGCTATTACTTATCATGGGCAGCAATTTT